TTCTGAATAACCAAAAGGCTCAGGATGTTGATATTTAGTTAGTAGCATATGCTGGGATCAAGGACTACTATGTTTGTTAAAGTGAATGACTTTGACTTATATTCAAGGTCACAGGGGTCAAATTTGTTTAAAATCTTTAAACAACCTCTTATGAATAACCATGGGTCCCAGGATGTTTATACTTTGCAAGTTTCATCCTGAGATGAAAGGCTATACAATGTGTTCAACATAATGACTTTGTTCGACTTTCAATCACAGGGGTGAAATGTTTTGAAAAAAATTAACAGGGTCTTTTGAACAAATTTTAATCATAAATACTGATATTTTGCCTGCAGCTTTATTTTAGATCACTTTAAGGTTACAAGTGTGAGTTTTATACCAGGTGAGCGATGCAGGCCCATTGGGCCTCTTGTATTAGAATAGACTCTAGGGGCTGACCGAACCCCTAGGGACCTAGTTTCTGAGTCACAGCTTGGAAACAGTTGAGATCCCCACCCTATAGCCATATGTACAATTGCTGGGCATGAAAAATCTAATACAGATATGCTACAAGGATTGGCCTTGGGGTCTGGCATATTCCCTTAGATCTCATTTGGAGAATGTTTTGCCATGATTGCTTAGGTATACAGGTGAGCGATACATGCCCTATGGGCCTCCTGTTACTACAGTATATCTTATAAAGAATATGTTCTTCCATATTAAGTTTATTAACAAGATTTTAATGTTTTGTCACTTAATCTCAATGTTGATTCCTGGTCATGTTTGATTAATTCAAAATGAGAAGTAGATCAGGATGACATCACAACCCGTCTCTGATTTTAACCTACTACCATTGCAAAACAAATAAGCAACTTTCTAGATCCAGTCATAGTCCTGATCAAATGTTATTTTTCAAACCAATTCACTTTTAAAGATGATCATCACCAGGCTTTCCATTAAGAACAGGCAGCAGATCAAGATGACTGGTTCAGTTCTGATTTAGATTAATTAGGTTAATTAAAATCACCTTTTTTATACAAGTATAGCTCATTTGTAGTTTTACAAAAGTTGGTCAGTTAAAAATGTCATCTGGTCTGTTCAGATAGAAGTTTACTGAAAAGCCTGCACCAGATTTCTGATTGGCTGAGACTTTGTCAACTTCTCCACTTTCACTAGGTCAATATTCACTTGATTAACTTGAACTGTTGATGCTCTGATAATCGTGAACAGGTCTGGATGGGCATGATATCTTTTAGTTGATTTATAATAACAAAAATAGTCACTTTTGGTTCCGATTGGCGAAGTCATTTTTGACTAATTCTCCATTCAATCAGACCACTTTTAACCAGTGTCCAAGTGTTACTGTTATTGCCCTTTTAATGTGTTGCTGTTTGAATATATGGCCATATTGTTTCGGTAAGCCGAAAGATTTCAGCCTCTTTTCTAGATCAGAAAATAAAATACAGAAGATCAGCAATACAGTGAAAAATTCATACCAGAACTTTTTTGATGCTGAAAACCCCCATAATACAGCAAGTACAGTGTAAAACTGACAAAGTGGTTAGCAGGGGCTAGTTACATCCAGGATCCACAATCACTCATTTATAATGGATGTTATAGCAGACCTCTTTGTACCATGATTATGTTTCAAACATTATTTTGGAAGTCATTGCAACCAAAGCAGTTAAAATTTAAACAAATTGTACTTTAAAATGTGTGAAAACATCAATAGATGAACAGTGTAAACAGCCACTTTGTGAGTGTGGTGCATCAGTCTAGAGCTCCGTGGCAACCTATCTAGGACTGTCCGAAGCAGCATGTGACCAGATCTGCACCTTCTGCCCTGTAATCCATATAGATGTACATGTAGATACTTTCTATCTTTCCAAATGTATTGACTGAAAATAAGTGGGAACCCTTTTATAACTTCTGAAAATGTTTCATGATTAGATTTGACTGATACAAATAGATTCTGATACATTGAAGTACCTTCTCCAATGAGACATGCACTAATATAAAGTACCTTGCCATTAGTATTGTTTATCACAGGGATGAGTCCTTATGCTGTGTTTATTTACAGGAGAGGAGTGGTAATAACTCGTTTACCCATGATGCTCTTACCTTGAAGTACAAACTGGACAATGAGTTTGAGTTGGTGTTTGTGGTAAGTTGAATTAAAACTAAAGATTAAGTTTGATCATCTTCTGAAGATTGCAGGATCTTCTTTGGTGTTGGAATGTGGGGGTGGAGATGTATAAGGAAGTTGGAATAGTTTATATATAAAGCATAGACATATTATCACCAGTTAAGTATCGTTCTGGTAACTTTTTCACACATTTTTATACACCCGTCGACGGGAGTATGGCGTTATCCTTCCGTCCGGCGTAAACTTTTGTTTGTCCGGCAATCTTCTCCTACATTTCTAAACGGATCTCTTTGAAACTTGGTATACATCATAATCATGATATGAAGTTGTGTCTTCCTTAAAAGAATTTTGATTCGACAACTTTTCCAAAAGTTATTGCCCCTTGTTCATTTGGGTATTTGAATTTTTGTCCGGAGATCTCCGCTTACATTTTTCAAAGGATCTCTTGGAAACTTTATCGGCTCAATAATCATGATATGTTGTTGTGTTTCCTTGAAAAGAATTTTGATACAACAATTTTTGCAAAAATTATTGCCGTTTGTTCATTTCAGTATTTGATTTTTTGTCCGGAGATCTCCTACATTTTTTGACAGATTTCTTTGAAACTTAGTAGGTTAAATAATCATGATATGTTGTTGTGTTTCCCTGAAAAGAATTTTGATTCAATGATTTTTGGAAAAGTTATTGCCCTTTGTTTATTTCAATATTTGATTCTTTTATCCAGAGATTTTCTCCTACATTTTTATAGCATGTCAGCAAACTACTCTTTGAATGAAGCAGTTCTTATTTTAATGTAAGAAAGTATATATAACACTATATGGCATTCGACGGGCGTATATTGTTCCGCCCCGCGGTACTCTTGTTTTAGAATATATTGAGATCAACAAGTTGTATAATGGAATAAGCCATGAAATTTGTTTTATACAATTACAATATAAGAAAAGGTGTCATAATTCTGTAATGTTTTAACAAAAGGTTGTGGTTGTATGTACCCGGTAACAGATTGATTTGTAGAACTTATAATAGAGTTAACAGTAACAGAGACGAGTCAACAAGAAAGTATATTGGAATTTTGCAGGTTGCTTACCAGAAGATACTGCAGTTGTCTTACATTGATAAGTTTCTGAGTGACATACAGCTGGAGTTTCGTAACAAGTACAAAGATGATATCCAGAATGGCAAACTGACGCGAAATCTAGATTTCAGTGATGTTTTTCACTCCATGCTGAGGCAGCGTGAGGAGGAGAGTCGAGTGGAGAAAGTGGCAAGGTAGAGTACTTCATTCAGTGTCTGTTAGGTGACTGGTACTCCTGACAACAGTGTCTGTAGGGTGACTGGTACTCCTGACTTCAGTGTCCGTAGGGTGACTGGTAGTCCCGATAACAGTGTCTGTAGGGTGACCGGTACTCCTGACCACAGTGTCTCTAGGGTGACTGGTAGTCCTCAAAACAGTGTCACCTAGGTGACTGGCAGCCCTGACAACAGTGTCAAGTTCAAGATCAAGATCTTTATTACTTTAAGTCGGTTGACTTATCAGTTATAACATATATACAAAACAATACAGAGACAACATACAATATGATACACACACACATACACACACACACACACACAATTCAACTTTTATTCCTTAAGTTTGACAACTTATTAGATAACTATACTTTACAATAAATTACAAATGATATATACGTATATGTCCTGACAAAAGTGTCACCTAGGTGGCTGGCAGTCCTGACAACAGTGTCTGTAAGGTGACTGGTAGTCCTGACAAAAGTGTCTGTAGGGTGACTGGTATTCCTGATAACAGTGTCTGTAGGGTGATTGGTAGTCCTGACAGCAGTGTCTGTAGGGTGACTTGTAGTTCTTTTAACAGTGTCTGTAGGGTGAGTGGTAGTCCTGATAACAGTGTCTGTAGGTTGACTGGTACTCCTGACAACAGGGTCTGTAGGGTGACTGGTAGTCCTGACAACAGTGTCACTAAGGTGACTGATAGTCCTGACAACAGTGTCACTAAGGTGACTTATAGTCCTGACAACAGTGTCTGTAGGGTGACTGGTAGTCCTGACAACAGTGTCACCTAGGTGACTGGCAGTCCTGACAACAGTGTCAAGTTCAAGATCAAGTTCTTTATTACTTTAAGTCGGTTGACTTATCAGTCATAACATATACAAAACAATACAGAGACAACATACAATATGATACACACACACATACACACACACACACACACACACACACACAATTCAACTTTTATTCCTTAAGTTTGACAACTTATTAGATAACTATACTTTACAATAAATTACAAATGATATATACGTATATGTCCTGACAAAAGTGTCACCTAGGTGGCTGGCAGTCCTGACAACAGTGTCTGTAGGGGGATTGGTAGTCCTGACAACAGTGTCACTAAGGTGACTTATAGTCCTGACAAAAGTGTCTGTAGGGTGACTGGTAGTCCTGACAACAGTGTCACTAAGGTGACTTATAGTCCTGACAAAAGTGTCTGTAGGGTGACTGGTAGTCCTGACAACAGTGTCACCTAGGTGACTGCAGTCCTGACAACATTGTCACCTAGAGGACGGGCAGTTCTGACAACATGGTCAGTTGGGTGACTGACTGGTAGTCCTGACAACAGTGTCACTAAGGTGACTCACAGTCCTGACAACAGTGTCTGTAGGGTGACTGGCAGTCCTGACAACAGTGTCACCTAGGTGACTGGCAGTCCTGACAACATTGTCACCTAGAGGACTGGCAGTTCTGACAACATGGTCAGTTGGGTGACTGACTGGTAGTCCTGACAACAGTGTCATCTAGCTAGGTGACTGGCAGTTCTGACAACATTGCACGACTCACGCTGTCGGTAGCCATTGGCTACTTTAATTTTTTATTGGCTACTAAAAATTCAATGTGGCTACCAATTTGACTACTAAGTTTTTTAAAATGGGGAAACTCTGTATCTTTGTCCCAGAAAACGATCTGTCTACTCGAGCTCACGTGTGTATTGTGGCTGACACGTGCACTGATTGCGTAAACAAAATCAGGGCCGTCACAGATCAGTGCGCCCTGTACGACTGCGAGTTAATTAATGCTTTTGTCTAAGTTGTAAAGTCAATTATCAAGCTTCAGGTGGCAACAGGTGTTATAATTCTTGTACAATAATGGACAGTGGGGTCAAGTTAATTGGATGACCCATTGACGTTGAGAAAACAGTCTGGTAGGCGAGTCACACATAGGTGGTCTTGCACACATACATTTGATGGCGCCGGAAGTCGATCTGATAAACTCGTTCAAACACCGCATCCAACAAATTTAAAGGTTCAGTATATTTAGATTAGTGTACATGGTATTCATTTACCTTTTCCAGTACAGTAGAAAGCATAAATACGTCCGATATATTTGATTAGAAAGTTTAAGTATCGCCTTGAAACACCATGTCGAAGTGCCGATTTTCGGCCTTTCTGATCACTTTAAACGATAGGCCCTATATCGTATCTGACTGTGTACCTTCGTGGTTAGACGTTTTAGAATTTCAAGTGACCGAGAAAAGTTATTTAGCATCACAGTTATGCAGTTTTTAGAACAGCAAACCGTTCAGAATTACTTTGACAGTCGCTTGTATTAGGTGCCAATCGACAACATGGCACCGGAATGGCCAAGTTGCGCGAAGTGATGTGATCCCAAATTTTTTTGAAGGGTTGGTCAATAACGTTATAAATTCGTCCTTTTCCTTTCAAATGTGTTCTACTGCCATTTACATTCGAAATGTGTGATATTTTTAAATATATATATATATTTTTTTTTACATAAAGCATGAATTACGGAAAATTAATTATCATTATTGCATCACTTAGGCTACTTTTTATTTGGATTTTATTAGTTTTATTTTTTGATTGAAGGCACAGAATTAAAGGTGAATAATATCTTAAAATTTAAACTTTCAGCCTAGATTTTTTCACAATTCCTGTGTTAATTTAAATCATATTTTCTTAAAATTACAGCCATATAATCTGAAAGGATTAAAAAGATATCACAATATGAATTAAATTATAAACATGAGGTATTACAAAAAAAAAAAATTTAACAGAGTACTCCTTAATTTAACATCATATTGAATAGTATTGCACTTCAAAAAATATTAAATATTTAATGATTTTAATGGAGGGCCTATCCGTAACGGTTGGAGGCCGAGAAAGTATGGCCACAGTTTAAAAAAAAATCAAACATGGCTACTTTTTGGCTACTGATTTTTTAGGTCCAGGGTGAGCCCGGTCCAGAGTGAGCCCTGCATTGTCACCAAGGTGACTGGTAGTCTTGACAACAATGTCTGTAGGGTGAGTGCAGGTAGTCCTGACAAAGTGTCACCAAGGTGACTGGTAGTCCTGACAACAGTGTTACCAAGGTGACTGGTAGTCCTGACAACAGTGTACCAATGTGACAGGTAGTCCTGACAACAATGTAACCTTGGTTAGAGGTAGTCCTGACAACTGTGTCGCCAAGGTGACTGGTAGTCCTGACAACAGTGTCACCAAGGTGACAGGTAGTCCTGACAACAGTGCACCAAGATGACTAGTAGTCCTGACAACAGTGTCTCCAAGGTGACAGGTAGTCCTGACAACAGTGTCACCAAGGTGACAGGTAGCCCTGACAACAGTGTTTACAAGATGACGAGAAGTCCTGACAACAGTGTCGCCAAGGTGACAGGTAGTCCTGACAGCAATGTCACTAAGATGGTACTGAGTCCTCATCATAAGGAATTTCCTCAGTTACTAGGAAGGTACTTTGCCTCTTGTTTCAACTTCACATCTTAATAATGGAAAACAAATAAATTACCCATTGAACCTTTTATTTATATAATACCGTTTTGTTTAGAAAATTGAAAAGGAATTTCAAATAATGCTTAAAAACTGGTACTATTTTTCATCTGAAACAGTTTAGGTGTTTCAGTTTTGGTAAACCTGTCTGTTTTTTTTTATTGGCAATGAGCTTGTGCTATTGTTTAATCACAAGTCAAAAAATCAAACATTGCACAACTTTAATTAAACTACACAATATCTATTATACTTGAACAGACCCATGAGACGTTTTGAGGATTCTAAGAAATCTCAGAAAACTATATCCTCTATGGTTGAGAAGAAGGGTGATGAGAAGAAATCCACCAAGGCCAAAGGCAAAGAAAACAAACCTGTGAAAAGTGAGTCTAACCGACCCAGTTCACCCAGTTTATGTCTGTGTCAAAGTCTAACCCACCTAGCTCATCCAGTTTATGTCTGTGTCAAAGTCTAACCCACCTAGTTCACTCAGTTTATGTCTGTGTCAAAGTCTAACCCACCCAGCTCACCCAGTTTATGTCTGTGTCAAAGTCTACCCCACCTAGCTCACCCAGTTTATGTCTGTGTCAAAGTCTAACCCACCTAGCTCGCCAAGTTTATGTCTACAGGTGTCAAAGTCAGCAACCAGTTTATGTCTGTGTCAAAGTCTTATCCACCCAGCTCACCAAGTTTATGTCTGTGTCCAAGTCTATCCCATCCAGCTTACCCAGTTTATGTCTGTCAAAGTCTAACCCACCTAACTCACCCAGTTTATGTCTGTGTCAAAGTCTAACCCACCTAGTTCACCCAGTGTATGTCTTTGTCAAAGTCTAACCCACCTAGTTCACCCACTTTATGTCTGTGTCAAAGTCTAACCCACCCAGCTCATCCAGTTTATGTCAACAGGTGTCAAAGTCTAACCCACCCAGCTCACCAAGTTTATGTCTACAGGTGTCAACTGTCAAAGTCTTACCCACCCAGCTCACCCAGTTTATGTCTACATGTGTCAATGTCTAACCCACCTAGCTCACCCAGTTTATGTCTGTGTCAAAGTCTCACCCACCTAACTCATCCAGTTTATGTCTGTCAAAGTCTTACCCACCCAGCTCACCCAGTTTATGTCTGTGTCAAAGTCTAACCCACCTAGCTTGCCAAGTTTATGTCTACATGTGTCAATGTCTAACCCACCCAGCTCACCCAGTTTATGTCTACAGGTGTCAAAGTCTAACCCAACCAGCTCACCAGGTTTATGTGTGTCAAAGTCTAACCCACCTAGCTCACCCAGTTTATGTCTACAGGTGTCAAAGTCTAACCCACCTAGCTCACCCAGTTTATGTGTGTCAAAGTCTAACCCACCCAGCTCATCCAGTTTATGTCAACAGGTGTCAAAGTCTACCCCACCTAGCTCACCCAGTTTATATCTACAGGGGTCAAAGTCTAACCCACCTCGCTCACCAAGTTTATGTCAACAGGTGTTAAAGTCTAACCCACCCACCTCATCCACTTTATGTCAACATGTGTCAAAGTCTAACCGACCCAGCTGACCAAGTTTATATCTACAGGTATCAAAGTCTAACCCACCCCGCTCAACCAGTTTATGTCAACAGGTGTTAAAGTCTAACCCACCCACCTCACCAAGTTTATATCTACAGGCGTCAAAGTCTAACCCACTTAGCTCACCTAGTTTATGTCTACAGGTGCCAAAGTCTAACCCACCCCGCTCAACCAGTTTATGTCAACAGGAGTCAAAGTCTAACCCACATAGCTTGCCAAGTTTATGTCTACATGAGGCAAAGTCTAACCCACCTAGCTCACTCAGTTTATGTCTACAGGGGTCAAAGTCTAACCCACCCAGCTCACCAAGTTTATGTCTACAGGTGTCAAATTCTAACCCAACCAGCTCACCAAGATTATGTCTGTGTCAAAGACTAACCCACCCAGCTCACACAGTTTATGTCTACAGGTGTCAATGTCTAACCCAACCAGCTCACCCAGTTTCTGTGTGTCAAAGTCTAACCCACATAGCTTGCCAAGTTTATGTCTACAGGTGTCAAAGTCTAGCCCACCTATCTCAACCAGTTTATGTCAACAGGTGTCAATTATAACCCATCCAGCTCACCCAGTTTATGTCTGTGTCAAAGTCTAACCAACATAACTCACCCAGTTTATGTCTACAGGTGTCAAAGTCTAACCCAACCAGCTCACCAAGTTTATGTGTGTCAAAGTCTAACCCACCTAGCTCACCCAGTTTATGTCTACAGGTGTCAAAGTCTAACCCACTTAGCTCACCTAGTTTATGTGTGTCAAAGTCTAACCCACCCAGCTCATCCAGTTTATGTCAATTGGTGTCAAAGTCTAACCCACCCAGCTCACCAAGTTTATGTCTACAGGTGTCAAAGTCTAACCCACCCAGCTCATCCAGTTTATGTCAACAGGTGTCAAAGTCTAACCCACCCAGCTCACCCAGTTTATGTCTACAGGTGTCAAAGTCTAACCCACCCAGCTCACCCAGTTTATGTCTACAGGTGTCAAAGTCTAACCCACCCAGCTCACCCAGTTTATGTCTACAGGTGTCAAAGTCTAACCCACCCAGCTCACCCAGTTTATGTCTACAGGTGTCAAAGTCTAACCCACCCAGCTCACCCAGTTTATGTCTACAGGTGTCAAAGTCTAACCCACCCAGCTCACCCAGTTTATGTCTACAGGTGTCAAAGTCTAACCCACCCAGCTCACCCAGTTTATGTCTACAGGTGTCAAAGTCTAACCCACCCAGCTCACCCAGTTTATGTCTACAGGTGTCAAAGTCTAACCCACCCAGCTCACCCAGTTTATGTCTACAGGTGTCAAAGTCTAACCCACCCAGCTCACCAAGTTTATGTCTACAGGTGTCAAAGTCTAACCCACCCAGCTCACCAAGTTTATGTCTACAGGTGTCAAAGTCTAACCCACCCAGCTCACCCAGTTTATGTCAACAGGTGTCAAAGTCTAACCCACCCAGTTCACCAAGTTTATGTCTACAGGTGTCAAAGTCTAACCCACCCAGCTCACCAAGTTTATGTCTACAGGTGTCAAAGTCTAACCCACCCAGCTCACCCAGTTTATGTCAACAGGTGTCAAATTCTAACCCACCCAGCTCACCAAGATTATGTCTGTGTCAAAGTCTAACCCACCCAGCTCACACAGTTTATGTCTTCAGGTGTCAATGTCTAACCCAACCAGCTCACCCAGTTTCTGTTTGTCAAAGTCTAACCAACATAACTCACCCAGTTTATGTCTGTGTCAAAAGTCTAACCCACCTATCTCAACCAGTTTATGTCAGCAGGAGTCAAATTCTAACCCACCCATCTCACCAAGCTTATGTCTGTGTCAAAGTCTAACCAACATAACTCACCCAGTTTATGTGTGTCAAAGTCTAACCCACCTAGCTCACCCAGTTTATGTCTACAGGTGTCAAAGTCGAACCCACCTAGCTCACCAAGTTTGTGTCTGTGGCAAAGTCTAACCCACCTAACTCACAAAGTTTATGTCTGTGTCAAAGTCTAACCAACCTAGCTCGCCTAGTTTATGTCTACAGGTGTCAAAGTCTAACCCACCTAGCTCACCAAGTTTATGTCTGTATCAAAGTCTAACCAACCTAGCTCACCCAGTTTATGTCTACAGGTGTCAAAGTCGAACCCACCCAGCTCACCAAGTTTGTGTCTGTGGCAAAGTCTAACCCACCTAACTCACAAAGTTTATGTCTGTGTCAAAGTCTAACCAACCTAGCTTGCCAAGTTTATGTCTACAGGTGTCAAAGTCTACCCCACCTAGCTCACCCAGTTTATGTCTGTATCAAAGTCTAACCCACCTAGCTCACCCAGTTTATGTCTGTGTCAAAGTCTAACCCACCTAGCTCGCCAAGTTTATGTCTACAGGTGTCAAAGTCTAACCCACCCAGCTCACCCAGTTTATGTGTGTCAAAGTCTTACCCACCCAGCTCATCCAGTTTATGTCTGTGTCAAAGTCTAACCCACCTAACTCACCCAGTTTTAGCTTACCAATATTGTCATCCTTGTAATATGTACTCCATAATTGTTATCCTCAGCTGTTACATAAAATCTTTATTGTTGTCCTCCAATCTTTGACCAATACTCATATTGGCATTGTCTATCTTTGCAGCTGTTACTATCAAAGAGCCAGAGGTGGTCCAAGTTACGTCTCCTGTCAGCAACGCAAGTATTGATGAGGAAACACTAAGGAAGAATCGTGAAAAGTTCTTTGAGAAAATGCAAGGTGGCAAGAAATCAAAAAGCAGGTGAGATTGTTTTTGATGTCCTGTTTTTTCACCCATGGCTATATTATATATCTAAGCCCAGAGAAGAAATTACTTTCTTTATTGTAGATGACAGCCTTACACGATGCATCTTATCAGAAATATACAAAGTTAATTCTATGATACAAACCTTCTGATTTTAGACTTCTGACATTGTAGCAAATCTCCAAAGAGCTAATGTCATAGTGACCATGTTGTACTAGTGTCATAGTGACCATGTTGTACTAGTGTCATAGTGACCCTGTTGTACTAGTGTCATAGTTACCATGTTGTACTAGTGTAATAGTGACCCTGTTTTACTAATGTCATAGTGACCCTGTTGTACTAATGTCATAGTGATCATGTTGTACTAATGTCATAGTTACCATGTTGTCCTAATGTCATAGTGACCATGTTGTACTAATGTCATAGTGATCATGTTGTACTAATGTCATAATGACCCTGTTGTACTAATGTCATAATGATCATGTTGTACTAATGTTATAGTGATCATGTTGTACTAATGTCATAGTGATCATGTTGTACTAATGTCATAATGACCCTGTTGTACTAATGTCATAATGATCATGTTGTACTAATGTCATAGTGACCATGTTGTACTAATGTCATAGTGATCATGTTGTAACTGTCATTGTGAAAATTACAACAGAACTTGTATACATCATTGTGAAAATGTCCAGAGATTCATGAAATATCAAATTGAAAAGAGGCACTGACCACATTAAAGATGGGTTTTAAATTTTCTGTGTTCAGGTTTTCACTGTTTTATCCACACCTAACAAGTTGGCGTGGGAAATTCAACGGGTTCTGTCCAAGGTAGCTGCATTGAACTTTGTATGCAGATAATTCCCGTATTCTAATGGTGCTTTTTCAAATAAAGGTGGTTTCATTTGTCATTTGTCGTTTGTCATTTCGAGATCATATCACAAAAACTGTTAAAGATAACTCTACAACCCTTTCTTATTTCATTAATTTAGTTGTATAGTAGATCAATTAACTATGAGGTGTTTTCAAATTTGTTCATATTTGCTGTTGCCATGGAAACAAATAGCCAAAATACAAATTATCATTTGTGGACCACATCTCCAAACTCCAAAGATAACTTTTTCTAGAACAGAGAAACCTCTCTATTAAGACCACCTGCAGGTCTTCAAGAAAGTGGTCTTAATAGCAGGTTGTCTTAGTAGAGGGGTGGTCTCACTAATGTGGTGGTCTCAATAAAAAGGTGGTCTTAGTAGAGGGGTGGTCTCACTAATGGGGTGGTCTCAATAAAAAGGTGGTCTTAGTAGAGGGGTGGTCTCACTAATGTGGTGGTCTCAATATAAAGGTGGTCTTAGTAGAGGGGTGGTCTCAATAGAGGATTTGTCAAAATACAGGGGTGGTCACAAAAAAGGGTGGTCTTAATAGAGGGGTGGTCTCCATAGAGGGGTGGTCTTAATATTGGGGTGGTCTCAATAGAGGGGTGGTCTCACAGCAGGGTGGTCACAATAGTGGGGTGGTCTGAATAGAGGGGTGGTCTCATAGCAGGGTGGTCACAATAGTGGGGTGGTCTGAATAGAGGGGTGGTCTCATAGCAGGGTGGTCTTAGTGGGGGTGGTCTCAATAGTGGGGTGGTCTTAATAGTGGGATGGTTTCAATAGAGTTCCCTTGGTATTTATGATTTCAAGATTTTTATCATTATTTCTCAAGAAGATAGTAACGAACAAAGACTTAACTTAGAAAATACACCCTCAAACCCAGCATCATACAAATTTTGATCAGAAGTGACCACAAAATAAGTTTACTGTTGATCAAACAGATAAAAGTAAAGAAGTGAAATGAAGAGAAAAGATGAAACTTTGATATAGAACTAACCAGGATTTTGTAATGGTTGGTGCCTGAATCCCTCTTGTTTACCCTCAACATTTGGATTGTATTCCAGTCCTAAAGCCAGCACACCCGAGGGGAAGAAGAAAGGCAAGATAGGGCGTGTCTGGGAGGGAGCCGGTAACAGCAAAGACGTGAAGGGACTGGACTTCAGCAGTACCAATGGAGAGAGCATCCCAGATGATGTGGTGCCCACCGTAGCAGAGGTGAGATTAAAGGTCATGCTGTAATATAACATAGTCAAGCATTTGTTCCTTGGCAAGGAATGGTCTCATAAGCATACAACCTTACTCTGGGCTGTTAGAAGTTTGAGGGCATCATGTCACTTTAGCATAAAAAAAAATTAGATCAATAATGGCCCTTTGATTTCAGAGATTTCTATGCTAACCTATACTTGTTCTACATGTATATGTCTGTCAGTGTTACTGTAGAATACATTAGATTCTACTCATGTAGAGGTCAGAGATTGTAAAGGTTTTAGGTCACCATAAAGATTCTATGATGGTCATAAGTCGTTAAAACTACAAACCCCACTTAATCAACTTAATATCCCTGTACAGAGATCCCTGGTAGGGTCTATGAAGGGTGGTATCAGGGACATTGAGGAGGAGGAAGAAGAAGAGGAGGAGGAGTATGAAGAGGAGATAAACAAGGCTTCATCATCAAAAGGCAGCACCAAGTAAGTGAGATGTGATCACCTGCCCTATAGACATGGTACGAGATCCGTTCAGCCTCAACATTTTCTTTTAAAGAACTTCTTCCAAGAGGCAAACTGTCATGTTTAAGGACATCTAGGTGTCAAAAACGTTAAAGCATTAAAACAACTTCTCTTTCAAATAACCAAGATGGCATAAATTGGCATGTAGCACACTGAGGTGAAGTCCTATCTAAAGTGTTTGAATGACAACCTTGACCCACTTTTAAGGTCACAGGTTAAATGTGTGTTTAAATCTTAAAACAATAACTGAAACAAAGCATTTGGTCATATTTGCTCATGCTGGATGAAGGGCTATCAAGTTTTATCACTTGAATGACCTTTGATTGAATCTCTTTTGGTCATAGAGGTCATATAGTGTGAAAGCTAGAAATGACTTCTTCCTTCAGGATCTATATGTCCTACTACAGGCGAAACTTGCCCTGTTCCATTTTATACATTTTACATAAGTCATACAGCCCAACACATTGTTCTTGAGAAACAAGTTCTGCAGATTACCCGGGGTTATCACTAAATAATATCTACTTATATGCAATGAATAACAAGTAAACCTATCACAGGAATTTCCCTGTCTGTACTTACACTACCAATGCCCAGTAGCTTTCACTTGTACTTACCTGGGTATGTGAACACTGTCAATAAACAATAGTGTGGATCTTAAGTTGTATTTACATTATATATCCATGCTATACTAAAAGTTCCATTCATCATTTTGGTATTATCTATCCTGGTGTCTCCACACAGAGGAATCGCCACTTAGTATAGCGATAGTCCCTGTAGTCCCTTCAGACGAATTAGGACCAAGAGCAGTGAAAAACTTCTATAACAGAAACATCAAATCTGTACTGACAACTTGAAGTTGAAAGGAGACTTGACAACATTTTGTTCTTTAGTTATACATGTATTGTGGTGTATACGATCTGTAATTTGACAGACATCACATAGCCACCATTTTTAGCTCACCTGGCACAAAGTGCCAAGTGAGCTTATGCCGTGGGACGGCGTCCGTCGTCTGTCCGGCGTCCGTCCGGCGTCCGGCGTCCGGCGTCAATATTTTACTTTAAACAACTTCTTCTTAATAACCGAAAGGCCTAGGGTGTTGATATTTGGCCAGAAGCAAACTGGGATGAAGGGCTACAAAGTTTGTTAAAATTAATGACCTTCACCCATTTTCAAGGTCACATGGGTCAAATATGTTAACAACTTTAAACATCTTCTTCTCGATAACCTAACTTCCCAGGGAGATGATATGTGGCCAGTAGCATGCTTGGGTGAAGGGCTACCAAGGCTGTTCAAATGAATGACCTTCAATTATATTCAAGGTCACAGGGGTCAATTGTCTTAAAAAAAACCTTGAAACAACTTCTTCTGAATAACCAAAATGCCCAGGGTGATGATATTTGGCCAGTAGCATGCTGAGATGAAGGGCTACAAAGTTTGTTCAAATGAATGACCTTCAAGCATATTCAAGGTTACAGGGGTAAAATATGTTAAAAACTTTAAACAACTTGTTCTGAGTAACCAAAATGCCCAGGGTGATGATATTTGGCCGGTAACATGCTGAGATGAAGGGCTACAAAGTTTGTTTAAATGTATGACCTTGAATCATGTTCAAGGTCACAAGGAGCAAATATGTTCAAAATATTTAAACAACTTGTTCTGAATAACCAAAAGGCTCAGGATGTTGATATTTAGTCAGATCAAGGACTACTATGTTTGTTAAAGTGACTGACTTTGACTTATATTCAAGGTCACAGGGGTCAAATTTGTTTAAAATCTTAAAACGACCTCTTCTGAATAACCATGGGTCCCAGGATGTTGATACTTTGCAAGCTGCATACTGAGATGAAAGGCTATACAATTTGTTCAACATAATGACTTTGTTCAACTTTCAAAGTAACAGGGGTGAAATGTTTTAAAATCTTTTAACAGGTTCTTTTGAATGACTTTAATCATAAATACTGATATTTTGCCTGTAGCTTTATTTTAGATCACTTTTAAGGTTGCAAGTGTGAAATTTATACCAGGTGAGCGATGCAGGCCCATTGGGCCTTTTGTTTATGCCTCACGTCAATACACAAGAAATTACAGTACATAACAGTGTTGTTATATTTTTTGTTTAATTGATATTTATTAATTTTCATAAAAGTTGCACAAGGGTTCTGTTCAGAAAATGTTTATTTAAGATATTATCATGCAGGTTCCAATTCATAGCTACAGCTTTTGGCACTGTTATGGGTATCTTTAAGGAATAAAAGATACAGATTTTTGCGGGCTGATACGGAGAGGGCTGATACAGGTTTTGGGGTGTGATACGGCGAGGGCTGATATGGGTTAGAGCAATTGTGTCGTATCGCATATACAAAAAACCCATATTTATTAGTAAGTATGTAATAAAAAATAATAAACAATCAATATTCAAAGCTGAAAAAAGATTGTTTGTTTCTATTGAAAACAGGATCACATGATTTAACATTTGACAACTTAATCACCTGTACTAAGTTTGTTTCTTTGAATGACAGGAGCAGTGCTAAGTCCGCTGGGTCGGGCATGTTTAGCATGTTTAAGAACCTGATTGGATCCAAAACTCTCACCAAGGAGGATCTTGACACTGCCCTGGAGAAAATGAAGGATCATCTTGTGGGTAAGCTACATTGTTTAAACCTTTGAAAACTTCTGAATACTGACAAGGCCTTAGTTCATGATATTTGCCCATTAGCATGCTGGAATGAAGGGCTGTCAATGCAAATGCAACTTTTTTTCAATGAATGTCCTTAAACTACTTTCAAAGTCTACAACTATACCATATACTATCTGTATTAGGGGTGTCATCATATAGATGTGGCCCTTAGATTTTGTGTCTTTAAATAAGTACTTTAATGTGCCAAACTTTTGATATCAAAGAAAAACAAAAAATAAAATTTGTTCCTGATGTGTAGATTTAGACCAAAACACAATTTATGGTAAGGTTTATGACGTGTGTTTATTGAATAATTTACATGACTTAATCTTCCTTACAGTTGTACCACTTTATTTATCCATTGATTGTAAAAGGAAATAATTAAAAACTGTTAGTTACACAAATAAACTGGGCAACACATGAAAAAAATCATCTCATACTTTAATAAGAATTGACAGTGTTCCTACAGTATTCTACAGTGTTCCTACAGTATTCTACAGTGTTCCTACAGTATTCTACAGTGTTCCTACAGTATTCCTACTTCTACATTGTTCCTACAGTATTTTACAGTGTTCCTACAGTATTCCTACTTCTACATTGATCCTACAGTATTCTACAGTGTTCCTAATTGATTCCTACTTCTACATTGTTCCTACAGTTTTTTACAGTGTTCCTACAGTATTGAAGTGTTCCTACTTTTACAGTATTCCTACAGTATTTTACAGTGTTCCTACAGTATTCTACAGTGTTCCTACAGTACATGTATTCCTTATTCTATAGTGTTCCTACAGTATTCTACAGTGTTCCTAATTGATTCCTACTTCTACATTGTTCCTACAGTTTCTTACAGTGTTCCTACAGTATTGAAGTGTTCCTACTTTTACAGTATTCCTACAGTATTTTACAGTGTTCCTACAGTATTCTACAGTGTTCCTACAGTACATGTATTCCTAATTCTATAGTGTTCCTACAGTATTCTACAGTGTTCCTATAGTATTGAAGTGTTCCTACTTTTACAGTATTCCTACAGTATTCTACAGTGTTCCTACAGTATTGAAGTGTTCTTACTTTTACAGTATTCCTACTTTTCTGTATTATTACTTCTAAAGTGTTTCTACTTTTCCGTATTATTACTTCTAAAGTGTTTCTACTTTTCTGTATTATTACTTCTAAAGTGTTTCTACTTTTCTGTATTATTACTTCTACAGTGTTTCTACTTTTCTGTATTATTACTTCTATAGTGCTTCTACTTTTCTGTATTTTTACTTCTACAGTGTTTCTACTTTTCCGTATTATTACTTCTATAGTGTTTCTACTTTTCTGTATTATTACTTCTACAGTGTTTCTACTTTTCTGTATTATTACTTCTACAGTACCCCTAGAAAGTGACTAGCTATAGTTTGTTCTGTCTGGTGTTGAGTTAAAGATAGTGGAACTAAGTTCACAAATGTAAGGCTGATGTTTATCACTATATCATCTCTCTATTTCAGCCAAAAATGTAGCGTCTGACATTGCTGTAAAGCTGTGTGACTCTGTGGCAGCCAAACTGGAGGGAAGAGTGCTGGGCACTTTTAACAGTAAGCACAGTGTAATTAGTCCCCCACAGGTTCCCGGTGGGGGTAATATACGTTTGCACTCAGTCAGTCTTTCCGAATTCCATACGTATAAAAGTTTGTCGGGGCATTATCTTCTCTACTGTTTTACCTGGAGTAAACAGATTTGGTATGCAGGTACTTCCTCGGATGGCAGATGGTCAAATACAAACGTTTTGTCGGGCTCATATCTTATATCCTATTTCACCTGAAGTAACCAGATTTGGTATGTATGTGTGTCTTGGCTGGCAGAGTGCAGAGTTCAAAAGGTGTGTCACTTATATGATATCCTGAGATAGGTGTACAGCTTGGTCAATGAAGAAATCATTACTGGTAGGGGACTATGGATTGTCTTGTTGCATATGAACTGGAGACATTTATCAGCAAGATCAATTGTTTAACTAAACCCTAATTTGTAATTACAAATTTGCTGTACATTCAATTTTTAGCTCACCTGCCCGAAGGGCAAGTGAGCTTATGTTATGGTGCAGCATCCGTCGTCCGTCCGTCCGTCCGTCATCCGTCTGTCCGGCATCAACTTTTTGCTTTAAACAACTTCTTCTCAATAACCAAAAGGCCTAGGATAATGATATTTGGCCAGTAGCATGCTGGGATGAAGGGCTACCAAGTTTGTTCAAATAAAGGACCTTGACCAACTTTCAAGGTCACAGGGGTTGAAATATGTTAAAATCTTCAAACAACTTCCTCTCAATAACCAAAAGGCCCAGGGTACTGATATTGGGCCTGTAGCATGCTGGGATGAAGGGCTACCAAATTTGTTCAAGTGAATGACCTTGACCCACTTTCAAGGTCACTGGTGTCAGATGTCTTTAAAATGTTCAAACAACTTCTTCTCAATAACCAAATGGCCCAGGGTACTGATATTAGGCATGTAGCATGCTGGGATGAAGGGCTACCAAGTTTGTTCAAATGAATGACCTTGACCCATTTTTCAAGGTCACTGGTGTCAGATGTCTTTAAAATCTTCTAACAACTTCTTCTCAATAACCGAATGGCCCAGGGTACTGATATTGGGCCTGTAGCATGCTGGGATAAAGGGCTACCAAGTTTGTTCAAATAAATGACCTTGACCTATTTTCAAGGTCACTGGTGTCAGATGTCTTTAAAATCTTCAAACAACTTCTTCTCAATAACCAAATGGCACCGGGTACTGATATTGGGCCTGTAGCATGCTGGGATGAAGGGCTACCAAGTTTGTTCAAATGAATGACCTTGACCCATTTTCAAGGTCACTGGTGTCAGATGTCTTTAAAATCTTCAAACAACTTCTTCTCAATAACCAAATGGCCCAGTGTACTGATATTGGGCCTGTAGCATTCTGGGATGAAGGGCTACCAAGTTTGTTCAAATAAATGACCTTGACCAACTTTCAAGGTCTCATGGGTTGAAATATGTTAAAATCTTCAATCAACTTCTTCTCAATAACCAAAAGGCCCAGGGTACTGATATTGTGCCTGTAGCATGCTGGGATGAAGGGCTACCAAGTTTGTTCAAATGAATGACCTTGACCCATTTTCAAGGTCACTGGTGTCAGATGTCTTTAAAATCTTCAAACAACTTCTTCTCAATAACCAAATGGCCC